ATCAGATACTCAATGAATGCCTACTAGATGGCAGGCACTGTTCGAGATCCTTGAGCTGAAAGAAAAAAACACTAAAGCAGTGAAGTGGCAGTGTGAGGAGAGGGAAGAACCAGACTCTGCAAAGGTAGATGCAATTTTTCATTCTGGCTCTGTGCAATTTGGGTGGGTTACTGAACTTCGTGAGCCTTGTTTCTGGATCTCTAAAACATAGATAATAGTGCATGTCATATGAAACTGTGATTACACATCTATGTAAAGCAGTAATATTCTAAGTATAACTGAGATATTATTCAAAATATTTACTAGCCATATAGTTAATAAATCAGAAAGAACCAGGTGTAGAGAGCCACTATATTAGTGCACATTAGCATATTGGCAGAATATCAGCTCAGTCTTTAACAGTGCTTAGCCCAGGTTTAGTTTGAAGGCAGGGAGTTGTATAGCGTATATGTTTTGCTTTGTGTATCTTATAACACACTGACATCTTAAAAACCTTTCTGATTGGGAACCGACTGTATTTAGAAATAGCACAGGGCCTCGCCTGGAGTGGGTCTTTGATAGGTAAACTCATCAGCCCAGACCTGGACCTCCTCTGTCTGGCCCATACACCTCACAAGGCAATATTCCTCTTCCTTCAGTCATCTCAGGTCCTAGGCAGCTAGAGCTACCTGACAGCCAAAAACCCACTGGAATGTTTCAATCTGGAAATGTAGGTAGGGGATTATGCTTGAAGGGCCTTCAAAGTCATGCTATTGCAGATATATGGGAATGGGAAAAAGGGAGATATAGTATGGAGGACAGTATGAGTGGGATGGTTATGGCTGGCAAATGCATGAGAGTTTGATCTAGAGAGGAGTGTCTAGCTGGCAAGAAGGGCATGATTCAGGGAATATGTCAGACATGAAAAGGTGAAGCCCCGTTAAGGATTGAATATAGGAAGGAAGCAGCTACAGATGACTCCTGAATCTTCAGCTTGGGCAACAGATACACACAGGGATCTTAGAAGGCACAGCCACTTTCGGGCCAAGTTCTTTACAGGTCTGTGAGCCTACATGATTTCCCCTGCCCACCAGGTCAAGTAAGGCTCTTTTTTTTTCTTTCTTTTTTTTTTGATGTCACAACTGTAAATATTTCATACCAGTGGCCACGTTTCTATTTTATTTTGGGAATGGCACTGTAACAGTTTTTTCAGCTTATGTGACTCAGGAAACTGAAGGGCCATTTTTGTCCACAAGGATTTGTTTGGTGCTGAAGATGGCAGACAGTTTGGTGGGGGTGAGGACAGATAGTGCCCAAGGTCTTGCAGCGTGGATGTAACATCTTGTTTCTAGGATAACACTGCCAAAGGGGTGTGGGTACATCTTAGAAGAAACAAAACAGAAAAGCGTGACCAGCCACCTGACCCAGCTAGGAGTCTGCCTTAACTCTTGTAGCACTCTCTTACTGGCCTCAGAGGTGGCCACTGTGTTCAAAGGCAGTGCCTATCCAACTTTATGACTCCAAATCAGTTTGCAACAGTCTAGAATTTTCATACAACATGCATTTCCATTGTCTTTCTGAAGCTGCTAAGGGGTAGACTCTTTATACTCATCATAACATTGACTATTACTATGAAGCTACATGGTCTATCTTTATTGAGCTCTTATATATGTCAGGTACTGTGTTATGCAGAACTTTATATAGATAATCCAAACTCTTCTGCACAACCCTTGAGGTAGGGACAATGATTAACTCAGGTGATGATTAATTTAGTGATTAACTCAATGATTAACTCAGATTACTCAGGTGAGGAAACTGGGCTTAGAGAGATAAAAGTCATTATCTCTTTGCTCTTAGTGAGGAGGTTATGTATCCAGTGGCACAGTTGTACAACCATGCAAGTCACGAAATATAATCACTAATAAATACGATCAAGTACTAGAGATGTAGCTTATTAGACTGTTTAACTGGCATGTGTGGGGCCCTGAATTTAATCTTTTGCACTGCAAATAAAATTTTAAAAAGATGAATACATAAAGAAGGTGAAACTGAGAATTAGAAAGGTTAGAATCCAGAACCCAAGTCTCTGATTTTAAAACCATGTCCTTCTCCAAGGTCACTGGTTGCCTCTGGTTGTACTTGTGGTCAAAGCACTAATTTGTAGAGACTGTTTAATAACTGAAAACTGACTTTGAATTCTGGAATCTTTAGAGTAAGCTAATGGAATCAATATTGGTTTATGGCGTGGTGGTGCTTCTGGTCTAAGGTCTGATCATGCCACTCTTTCTCACTCCTCATTTTAGAAAGTACATTGAGTGAGGCTATTTACATCATAAATCATTAGCTATTAAATCCCAGGAAGTCAGCCTGGGCTTCCAACATTGCTGACTTTTCACTCGAGACCAACCACTGTACCATTAGGCTCACAGACAGGAAGCTTCCTACCTTTTTCTTTGAAGTTTATAGTCTTCTGAGAAATACAGGACAGCTATTTATTTTTATATTTATGCAAATCATATATACATACAGAGTGGTTAAAACATAAAAACAACATATGGTTTAGGAGAATTTCCTTAAGTGCTGCAGGCATCTCCGGATACAGAAATAGCATGGCTGCTAATAATGTGGCTTCCTCAGCAAAGATCACAGTGTTCAATCACTTGCAAAATAAGGAGGTAAGGGGCTCTTTGAGATTGGTGCCACTTTTATATTCATGCACTAATGTTCTTTTTCATGACAAATGAGTGTCATTTTAAAGATGTTTGATCAAGCATGAAATAACAGGACAGAGCAAAACTCTCTTGTAGGCTCTAGCCTGTCTTCCCAGTCTGAAACCAGTTCCAAACACTGACTTGTATCATGTAAAAAATTTGATGCACTTGGAGTTCATAGAGTCTCAAGGTACTGAATTGGAGATATTTAGAAGAAAGCATAAAACTAGATTCTAATTAATGAGCCTCATAATCACCCTTGTTAAGGGTGTAGGGGGAGATAAAGAATTAAAGGAAATTAAAGAAGAGGAAAGATAAAAAATGGATTTACTAGTTACCAGTTTCCACCTCACACCAGTGTTGAGGTTTTATACCATCTTCACAGCAATCCTGTGTTATAGGTGCAGAAACTGAGGGATTAGAGATTAAAGGAGGCACCTCATGTCATGCAGCTGTTGAGTATTACAGTCTGTACTCAATTCTATCTGATACAACAAAAGCTTAGATTTTCCTACCCCTGTGCAAGTCTTTCCTAAAAGATTCCAAGTCACTGACTAGGGGTATTTGCAGTCTCTGGACACATCCTAAGTTGATATTTGCCAAAACTGTGAAAATCAGAGGTGAGCAGTGTGAACAGAGCACAGGGCTGGGGCCAGAGCGCTGTTTTCTCTCCTTCTGGGCTGCTAGGCAAAAAGCAAGTCCTCACTTTGCACACCATGCTTCATTTGCTCTTTGTGCCACGGTGCAGCTCCAGTGCCTATAATGCAGAAAGCAATTAATTTACCCAATATTATCCAATTTTTGGCATGTACTGAATGCAGCCAGAGAGACTAAGCCAGGATCCTATCAAGGACTTATGCCTGTGTCTGTGCAGAGGGATGTGCAGTTGCCATAGCAGCAATCAATCTGCTAAATAACTGGTAACATAAACTGATTCAAAGGCAGAGCTGATTTGGGTCAGGGAATTGCACTCCATAAAGAGCAACTTCTCGGTGACTTTTGAGGATTTTCTTTTCAGCTTTTATAGATGACCCTAGAAATGCATAGTGAGTGACTGCTCAGTAGCAAGAGGGTGTGTATTGCCTCAAGAGGAAGACATTGTACTGCTCACAGCAAGTTTGGGTAGGTAACTCTGTGGAACATGCTGCAACATTGCTCTCCCACTGCGTGTCAATTCCCAGATGCTCAGGAGGACCAGTAGCAAAAGGCAAGTTCTCACTGTGAGTTCTCACCATGTCCCGGGATGCACTGCTCAGTGCTTCACATGTATTTTGCCAATCCCACAAAATGGGACTTACTGTCACCCTTCCAAGGTGTGGGCACTGAACTTAGCAGGCCCAAAGCTGCATGACTACCTGGGAGTGGGCTCAGGATTCAGACTCCAGTTGGCTTGGTGTGGATGCTATGCTCTCTCCATCCTTCCACGCTGCTTGTCTTCCTTGAACTTTCCCCGGAAAGAAAAGACAGTCCTTAGCTCTGATTCTGCTTTGTGTAGTGTGAATGCTACTAATTATTTTTAATTCAGCATAAAAACTAAGTCTCGGGCCAAGAGGACTTGGCACAGCTACAAGTAGCACTAACTAGTTTGGGTGCTTCAGATTCTTAATAAAAAGGCTTTTTCTTTTCCTTGGATTTCTACAATAGTATTAGGTGTTCCTGTTGTCTCCATTTTGATCTAGACTCCCTGTTGAGTAAGCCTGTGCCAGGAAGAAAGTATTTTTTTAACTACAAATGATGGTATGTTATAAAGCCATGAAAGCACTGACTTGATAGTCTCTTGAGTTATGGATTTTGCTAATTTCTATTTGTGTGATTGAGGGAATTTTTCTTCAGTTTTTAAAACCTTGCTTTAAAATGGGGATGATGATGATAATGTTGATATCAATTAACTCTCAGTTAATTAAAATTTTGGGGTGAATGAGATAGAAGCAAAATTTGCCTTTGAGTCATATAAGGTTCCCTTGCACCAAGGAATCTATTCTGTCACCCATATATCCTGATTTTTAATTATATTTTTATTTTGGCTTTTTGGCTTAGTGGCTCTGCATTAAATATTTGCAGAATGAATGAAGTCTAAGAAAGTATTCAGTAGAGTGCCTGTCACATGGTTGTTGTTTAATAAATATTAGTTTTCTGTTTAAACAAAGTATAACAGTTATTAAAGAATTCTTCATCCTTAGCTCTATTTTAGTATCAGTAGTTTAATTTGGCTTCTCAGAAGGACTTAAAGCCTGGCTGCCTGGAGAAAGGAGATTTGGACTTTGGATGTACCTTTGTATTTTCTGTTGCCTCTTTCTGATTCTCTGGCAGGAATCACGAGGTAAGGCAAGTGTTGCTGACTGAGGTCCGCCAGGCCTCTCCTTCCCAGGCCCCACAGCGAGAGAGCCGGGGTCAGGACCCCTGGAAATGAACTTCATGCAATGCGCAATTTGACACAGCTGTGCCAGCTGGAATACAGGAGCTGAGTAGGTGAGTTCATTTAGAGGATCCTATTGTTTTTCACTCTCTCAGCTAAAAGGGTAGCAGTTTCTCTTGCAAATGCAGCCTCCAAGCCAGCCTTTTTCACACGGGCTGTCAGTGAGTGGTGAACATCATCTGCACAGGGTTGGGTTGCATTTTGAACTTGTAATGCGAGAGTGAGACGTCTGCCTGTCCCTTCTCAGCATTCTTCTCTATGAGGCGGCAGTTTGCACAGACCTATAACCCCTCTATTGGGTTTCTGTGTATGGCAGTGCAGTAGTTGGTGGCTTCACAATAAGTGTTCAGTTTTCTTCCTGTGTGTGAACATTGATTTTTTTCTTTTAACCTAGAATGCAAATGGAACCTGTGCCTACTATCTGAATATCTCTGATTAGACTACCTGCACAAATCTGCCTGTTGACTTTAACAGATTGAATTCAAGTCTGCAACAGTCTTAGAGGAAAAAGAAGATTGCCTTGCCTCCCCAGTTATCATCAGTACTTGGTCTGAATGCAGACAGATTTCCCAAATTCCAGATAACAATGATAGGCAAGAGTTTCTGAGACCCTGGAGGCAGAGTGTAATCATCACACAGGTAAATTATCCCTGCCGTGAGAAAATTGGAGCAGTAAATGAAACATTAGTCCACTTCACTAGGAGGTCATGTATGTTACAGTCCCACAACAACCTGCTTCTCTGATTACAGTTAGCATGAGACTGCCATTCATGCCTTCACTTTTTTGTGTTTTTTATATTCTGCTGAGCTTTGTTTTACTCCAGCTTCTTTGCACTCTACCAATTAAGCCCAAAATTGGCAGGGAAGACAAAATACACATGAAAGGGAGGGTGAAAGCAGACAAAGGCAATGGAGAATAAAGTTGAAAAATGCTCCTTTCTTCCTTCCTCTCCTGGCAGCTGTGCTGAGCTAAGGAGATACTGAGCCTGTGTGACAGGGAACCGTTAACTCACCTGGTTTCCAGCCCTGGGCAGTCCTCGGAAACTTGGAGGGGCAACATTTGTTATTTGTGCCTTGCCCTGCTATCCCACTAGGCTGCTCAAACTCCAGAGTGTACCTGGCTTCTTCCACATGCGAAGATACAGGATGACATTTATCAAGGTTTGCTAGATGCAGGACTTACGTTACTGTGCTAAGTATTTCAAATGAGTTAATAACTATCATCTCCATTTACAGATAAGAACCCTGAACCAGGAGAGAGTGTGATAATTCACGAAGGTGATGCAAATTGGTGGGAAGAGGATGCCAACAAAGGCCCGAATGCATTCTTACTTTATTTATTCTTTATTCTTTGTAGGAAGCCTGGAAAATACTTGAAAGATTGAGGATGAAAATATGAGCATCCAACCTTCCATCCTCACACCAGAACTGCTGTATTTTATTCCAATTCCATCCATTGTTTGAAGCAAATATAACTTAAAATATATATGATGAAAATCATGCTTTAGCTAATCTTTTTATTTTTGTATCAAAATTTTAAGCAAACGTTTTCCCATGCGGCTATAAGGCCTTCATGTTGGCGTGAAGTAACTATCTCCCTATTGTTGGATAGGCTGGGTATGTCTGGCATGTACAGTTTGACAGTGGAGAAAAGAGCTGTGTTGTTTAGGGGAATAAGTGAATTTTTGATGTGCAAAGTTGGGAAGGGTGGCGTTTTGGGGGACAAGAAACCCTTCGATCTACACTTACTCTCTTTAGACTGTCATTTACACTTATTCGTATACATTTTCTAAGGCACAGATTTCTCATGCCTGCTTTCTTTTGGCATCTGTACTTACAGAGAAGTGCAGCTGTGTTTTAAGACTGACCAACTGACTGACAGTACAGCTTATCTTATCAGAGAGTTGCAGGGAGCTTATTTTATAGTTTTTGGATTTTCTGGAAACTGGTGTTTTTACTTGGTGCTTTAGAAGAGCCTTGTCTTCTTTGTATTCTAGTCTCTTGTTTTTCTTTCTGTTTTCTTTTTGAGATTAGGTCTCACTGGCCTGGAATCTGTGATCCTCCTGTCTCAGCGTCCCTAGTACCTGAGATCACAGGGTTGTGTCATCGTACCAGACTAGGAGAGAGACTACTTTCAATGCAGTCATGCATTGTTTCATACCCTTTTGTGTGTGGTATTTAATGATACTTAATGGGCCAAAGAAGAAAAGAACTTATAGTCAAACATGGTTCTTGCCACTAAGAATCTATGTGTTAGGTCTATAATAAGAATGAAGATAATTATGATTTTCATGGTAAGTGCTGTGATACATATGAATATGAAGGGCTTGGGAAACCTAATTTAATTATCACGTTTTCTAGAAAAAACAGGTCTCAGCAAAGGCTATGGGTAAGTGAAATATTGATTAGGCTCCATGTGGCAGGCTGAGTGGGTGTGCAGAGGCAGGTGATGTGGGGAGGCCACACCCCAGGAAAGGAAGAGCTTCACACAAAGGCACAGAGGTGGAGTTGGTTCTGGGTACACACGTGGTGCAAGAGACCCCAGGTGGAGGTAGCACCTTGGTTGAAGAGGAATTGAAAGTTGTGGCAGGAATGAGATTATGCAGAGTAGCTGTCAGCTCTAGAAGTTGTCAGCTTTATTCTGTTGGTACTGGTGCCTGTGCAAGGCTTTGTAGCAAGGGCTATGACCTCATCTCTCCGGAGCTCACAAGTTTGGGAGGGGGCTCTTAGTTTGGGAGAGCTGGGAATGAGGGTGGGAAAGGGGCACCTCGCAGAAAAGGCAGTGGGGGTGAACACCTAGCTGCAGTGTATGCATCATGATTACAATAAAAACCGACAACAACTACTACAAAACATAATAGGTGCTTAAATTTTAAAAGTGTTACGGTGAAAGACACATTACTGTTATCCCACACCCCCCTCAAAATACTCCTCCTCTCTTTGAGCACACTCTTTTAGCTCCTCACTTCCTGAAGAGCTCTGGAAGTCCTCGTGTGTGTTTTTAATTGTGCTGTCCTGGGTGCCTCCATGCTCTGGATCAGTGCAAGGCCTCTCTACTTTTCATGGTCATTTTGACTGTGGAGGAGGCGTCAGACCCAGTCAAGATGAGTGTGGACACTGTGGTGTTTTTGCTAGATAGAGACAGTTGTAAATGTTTTGAATTAGTTTAGGAGAGCAAGGCAGCACAAAAAGTACAACTAAAGACACAAAAGAGGGCTTTGAGCACAACTTCAGACAGTAGGAAGAGCAATGCATGTGTTCAAAAAGGAGGGGAGATTAGCATTGTGAGAGGGATTAATGGCAATGTGACTTTTGCTGTAATAAATTTTTTAAAAATTTAAAGACAGGCCGTTTGATCACATCTTGTCTGTGCACATGACTATAGCTATAGCTTTCCTTTTAAGGGAGACATCGGCAAAACTACAAAATCAGGCTTTCCAGGTATGGGTGTGTACTGTTCTCACAACTATTTAATCAATTATAAAATTCATCTATTCTATTTTTTGAATTTTTTTATTGTGGTTGATTTTCCAAGGTTTTCTAACTTTGCTTCTTATTCAAAATTTATTTTCCATTTTTATCCCCATTTGGAAAAAGCTCTTATAAAGTAGAAATGTTTATGACTTCTCCTTTAACTCTGATATTGAAATGATGATTGTGAATCAGCCTCTAAACTGAATATAAAATTGAATATTTTATCAAAATCATTTTCTCTACTAATTTAATGGCACCGTAAGGAGAAGGTTCATCATAAGCCTGTGAGCTCTCCTGGTGTGTGTGTGTGTGTGTGTGTGTGTGTGTGTGTGTGTGTGTGTGCGCGCGCGCATGCGTGTGTAGTCTCAGCTGCTTGGAAGACTGAAATGGATGGAACACAAGCCCAAGACCAGACTGGACAACACCACGGAACCCTATCTCGGGGGTGGCGGTGGGGAGGAAGCCCAGATAAAGCTAAAACAAACAAAGGAACCAACAACAGTAAAAAAGGGAGCGGCAGTGTGTTCAGACTACATTTATAATAGAAAAAACTGGTAAAAAGTATTTTCAGTTTGATTGGACTTATCTGTAAAAGTGTGACTGTTAGGTCTTTTCTATAATCTCCATATATAACATGGAGATTGCTGTTTTTATCCTGCACCCCATGCTAATCAGTCTGTCATATAAATCATGTATTTTGTTTTATTCTGTCACCTCCACACCTGCCTTAATTCTGTGCAATCAGGAATATGTTGCAGGAACATAATTAGCACTGCCAGCAGACCAAAGTTAAAACTGCACTTCTGTGTGGAGGCAAAAAGAGATACTGTTGGGTGAGGAAATCAATTTTAATTTCAAATTATATCAGAGCTGTTTCAAATACAAAGGCTAAGGATTGTCGAAATACAAAATATAATTTGGTAATACCATCTTACTCGTAGTAGGCCTGCTTTCCCCTTATTCCCCTTCCTCCAGCTCCCCTTCAGCTCCTCCTGGTCTTGTAGTGCAAGAGAGTCTGCGTGAGAGTCAAGGCATGGTACAGTCCCTTGCCACCACTATAAGGTCGCCAGTAGATCAGCAGGTTTTTCATTCCTATTTGACCTTTGGTATTGCCTGAAGGAGGGCTTCCCGGAACTCTGAGGCTAGGTCTACAAATGTTCCTCCAGCCAACTGCATCAGCATTCACCCTACCTAACCTTGACTGCTCTTCATACTGTGATAGTACTCTTAAATTTACCCATCCATAAGTTATTCTGATCCTGGTACTTCACAGAATTCCAGACATATTTTGTCACTCAGTGTCTGTTTGAATGAATGAAACATTGCATAAACAAGCACTTAGGTTGCGGTGCTAATTCCTAGCTCCATGCTTGTGGGTAATTTATTCATGACCCAATCTTTAGAGCTACAAAATAAAGGCGGTAGTCCTAACTTCAGGGTCAGTCTGAGGAAGTGAGACAATGTAAGCACAGCCCCGAGGACAATTCCCTCTGCATGGTTACAGTGAGGGGGTAGTGTTGTAGGCTAGGGGAATGCTGTGAGGGTTTGGAGCAGAGGAGTGAGTGGGGGAATGCTGTGCCTCAGGAAAGATGAATCTGGTACTGTGGTGCAGAAATGAGAAAAGAAGAGAAAATCTACTTTACCTGGGTATGAGATGATGCGGTTTGGACCAGCACTTTGGTTACAGACTACGGTCTCAGATGCCATCTCTGGGTGAGTAGGTGGTTCTCTTTGTTGAGTCTTTAGGTGCCCTATGAAGGCAAAGAACTCCCTGAGCCTCCCTAACTGAACTGTTGGCCTTCTTGCCAATAGGTGCTGGCAGGGTTTAGTCAGATTCATAACCAAATGGGGAACAGTGACTCACTGAGACCCTATCATAAAGAAGATTTATTTTAAGGACATCCTCCAGTTCAATGCAATCAAAATAGAAAAGCCACGAGGATCCAAGAAAGTCACTTTCTCTCTCGACACTCACCCGTTCATAGGTATGGTGTGCCTGTTTCTCTGTGTGTTTCCGCTTTTGTGTTTTTGCTGATGACTTGCTAATCTCCTCTAGTCCAAATCCCTCGGGGCAGCAATCTGTCTTGGTTATCATCACTGCACTTCATGGGTCCTCAGTCGGCTGGGAGTGTACTTGGGCTCTTTCTTCCCTGCAAAGACTACAGAAATAGACTGAAAGGAGCATTGGAACAATAAGAGCATGACTGACATTTCCAGGATAGAGCAGTCGAGAAGACAACACAGATTTGCTAGTGCTATTAGAAAAGTGAATCCTATCTGTTGGCATAAATATGTGCCTGCTGACATGGGAAGGACCTTCTGACATAAGCAAGAGAAATAATAATGGTTTTAGGAAAACCTGAAAAAAGTTACAGAGGAGGTCATCTTATAGTGTGCTAAGTAATGAGCTTGGTAATTAATGGACTAACTTTTGATGCTGTCTGTGTCCAAGCACCATAGTAGGTGCTAAAGTAGAAGTGACTAAGTCTTTGCCCCTGTGTAATTTACTTTCTCTTGGCAGGAGCCAATGAAAAAGTAAGCAGATATATGATTTAATATCAAATGTATGATTAATATCAAGATACAGGATTAGTATCAAGCAAATATATGATTTAATATCAAGTGAGAATAGGTCTTCTTATGAAGATAAATATGGTAGCACGATGGCCAAAAGATATGATGGATCTCCAGCCCCACTTTTTCTTCCAGGTGGACAAAGAGACAGACCATTTCTTAATTCAGTTCCTTATAATTTGACTCTGTGGCCATGTGATCAAGTTCTGGCCAATGCAATGTGAGAAGAAGTGATGTATGCCACTACCTACGCCTGTAAGACTTCCTTTTGTGGTCCTCATGTTCTTTTCATTTTGTCTGCCTTGGAGAGAGACAATTCCTGGGTGGGCTACTCAACAAAAAATAGTGGAGCCATAGTATGGTTTTTTTTTTTTTTTTTTTTTTTTTTTTTTTTTTTTTTTGGTACTGGGGATCCAACTCACTCATGACCTCACACTTACCAGGCATGGACT